GAGGGGTTCAAGGCCAGGCTGGATGAGGCTTTGAGCAACCTGGGCTGGTGGGAGGTGTCCCTGCCCATGGCAGGGGGTGGCACTGGATGGGCTTTAAGGTCCCTTCCAACCCAAACCATTCTCTGGTTCTATGATTCTACATTCTGAGCCGATGAAGGATTCCCCAGCTGAGCTTCAGCGAAACTCCAGGAGAGCTGCAGCAAAACTGCCACTGCAGAGACAACGCCTCGTTCAGCATCTCCATCAGGAGACACGGATCCACGTGCTCGGCTCCCCTGCAGAGGCTGAAGTCCACTCTGAGCAATGAGTTACCATGATGAGCTTTGTGCATTGCTTAAGCCATCAAAACAGATTTCAGTGAGGCTTAAGCAACGCACGGGGTCCTGCAGAGACCTTCTGTCCTCTGACCAGAAGCCCTCAGTGGAACTAAAGAAGAAGGAAGGTCCTTTGGGTAGGGGCCAAAGCCGGGCAGAGACTTCATGGGGAGATGAAGGGGGAAAAAAAAAATAGATGGAAGGAAAGACAGAAGGGGAAGAAGCCCAGGAACGTGGAATGAAGCCTAACAGAGATGCATGATTTCTCCTGCTTGCTGAAAGGATGAAGAAGTATTCAAGGGGTAGGGCAGGGAGGGAATTACAGCAAGGAACAACCGATTAAATACGTGTTGCTCTCCTGTCAGGGTGCCAAGTGCTGTGTTTACTCTCACTTCTATTTTTGCGGACTGCTCAGCCGATGCTGGACGCACTGTCAGCCAGAGCCAGCGCGTGATTAAGCCTTTCTGCAGGAATTCACGGGAAGAGCCATTTCCACAACGTGTCAGTAGGTGGCAAAAAGCTACAACCCTTCTTGCAGCAAGAAATAAAGATTTTTTCCTACTGCTGCAAGAACAGGAGGTATCTGTGGGCAGCTCTGTCCAGTCAGTGGGGGTGGATCATGTTCCCCATGGGCCATAGATCCCGGCACCGGCACTGCTGGGAGAGAGGGACATCCCAGAAAAGGGCAACAGAGAGCAGGTAAAGAGGCTCAGAAGAGAAACAGGAGTTGCCTCCCTCCTTGTAATTCATCAGGGGACTCTTGTGCCATCTCCTGACCTTGCTCAGGAGTTTTAAAGAAAGCTGGACACCGTAAGGGCTTCATCGCTGTTTTCAGCGTTGGAAAACAGCAGGTGTAGGGCTGTGCTAGCGCTGCACAGTCTGAGGATACCTAGTTAGACGAACAAGAACGTGCCATGGTTGATATTTTTCAAGCTGATGATAATACTTTAATCTTCACGTACAGCCTGAAACGGAGCTGCTCAAGCCCATGTTCTTGGGGGCTTCTCTCTCAGGGCTTTGTGTAAGCAGATTGGAGCAATCCCCGTTGCCTGTCACACTCCTCCCAGGGGGTGGCAAAGAAAGGGTTTAATAAAGTTAGTGGATGTATCCCAGTGCCTTTGATGGTGGGGGGTTTTCTGCTTTTGAACATGTGTGTATGTGTTGGGGAAAGGAGGATGTTAGAATCGTAGAATCACAGAATGGTTTGGGTTGGAAGGGACCTTAAAGACCACCCAGTGCCACCCCCCTGCCATGGGCAGGGCCATCTCCCACTACCCCAGGTTGCTCAAAGCCTCATCCAGCCTGGCCTTGAACCCCTCATGTTGCGTGATGCTGAAAACTTGCATTCCTGAGGAGGTCAAATACTCCAAGCACCAGGTGGGACAGAGCCCAGGAAGGTTAGAGAATCACATTAATCCACACTGCTCCATGGGATCCAGTTAAAGCGTGGCTTTGTTCAACTTTATACACCTAACACCTCTCTTTACTAAGTGGAAGTAAATAATTTTTCTGCTCAGGAACAATAGCAGGGACATTACAGCAATCCCAGCTGCAAGATCACTGAAATACCTTCATGCTTTTTTAAATTCAGGGGGAAGGTTCATTGACATCTCCTCTTATAAGTTGCTCATTTCATTGCTAATGATTTTGCCAGCCATTAACCACTGCTGCTGACTTCCCCCAGCTCAGTTATCTGCTTCGGGCTGAGCATTATCATTTTGTTTTAATGTTTCAGCAAATACCAGCTCAGCAAATCCTGAGCTGGAGGAACTTGGGTTGCTCTGGCCAGGTTCATGCCACCAACAAAAACATCCCATAACCGTTCCACGGGGGAGATCAAATGGGGAGATTTCTTTCTATCTTTTTCTTTATTTATTTCTTCCTTCTTTCCTTCCTTCCTTTCTTCCATCCATCCATCTACAATCTCCCCTTTCTTTAGGGCTGTGCCATTTCCCGATACCCGTAGCCACGCCATTAACTGCCTAAAAATCTCCATTCTTTGTCATTTAAGCTTCATCCTCTCCACAGTTGGCTGCAATGACTCAGCCTTCAAATGATGAGCCAAGATTGAGCAGTTGGAATTGGGAGCAATTCAGACAAAACCAGTCTTCCTTTCTAATTTATAGAAAAGTCTAAGTTTCACCTTTAGTAATAGAGGAAGTACTTTAATTTCCAGCCTCTGGAAGGATGTTAGAAAACATGAGAAGAGGATGAGTTGCCATCTGCCTCTTGACAGGTTACGATGAATTAATACAACCGAGAGCAGCAGAGTCAAACAATTTTGAGCACCAGAAGCAGAGAGCAGGTTTGCTGATTTTATCTCCTCCGTAAGAGCAAATTTTGCACTCCGTAAATCGATAAATTAATGCTCAGAGTCTCTTCTCTGCCCAGGCTGTGATATGGATCGGCTGGTCCACACGCTCTTCTCCGTGGGCAGCACTCTTCCCCAACGCTGGCAACACGACTATTGGAAAAGTAACCAGTTCTATCTGAGATAAATTGCATTTCCACCAATTATAGCTTAATTGTTGACAGATGGGAACACAGAAGGGAGATGTGTCACATCATTAGGAGGACAGGTGTATAGACAAGTGCCAGATTAATTGTTCCAGCCCATTAAATCATTGACCTTTTCAGCATACCCTCAAGGTCAAATCCACAGCTCTCACGATATTTCCAGCTCACAAATGATGACCGTGTTTATCAGCAAAGTTCTCAGGGGCGTTTGTAAAACACACAGGCTCTGACATGGGTTCTTTAGCCACGAGCAGTTCTCCTTTCTCATTAAAATCAGATCTCTTCTTCTTCCTTCTCCGTGTTGGGGTTTGGTTTTTGGCTTTTCAGTGAGATCACACATGGTGTGTGGGCTTTCTCCGAGGAGCACTTTTCTCCATGAAGCATGTAGACATGCTGTAATGGGCTATACATTTAGGGAGGTAAAATTAGGACAAAGAAGCTCTGTGTTGGGCAGTCATGTTGGATGCTCCAGCTTTGATTTGGGGCTCTGGCTGTGATTTCCAGCTCCTGCTCTGCCTGGGATTTTCAGTACAGCCTGAGAGAGACAAATAGCTAAATACCATTGAAACTGAGTCAGCCAGGGGTGTCTAATTCCCCTAAATATGTGTAAAGCTGTTTCTCCTGTTATTTTTCTGGCTTTGTTAGCCAGGAAGCTGAGGATGCAGCACAGGTGCATCCAGAACAGCTTTGTGGGGGTACCACAGGTTCAAGACAGTGATGCTTCACCTGCCCAGAGCTACCCAAGCCCTGCACTGTCCTGGATGATTGAGAACTGACTCCAGATCTAGGTATTCTGGATGTCCTGACTTGAAAAATAAGAGGATATGATTTCCAACTGAAGGAAAATGAAAGTCGCTGTGATGATAATCATATTTGTTACTCCTGGAGTCCCTGCCCTGTGTCAATGAGCTGCTTTGGAGATGTTTTGGGTAGGTTTTAGACAGACCAAGTGGAAAGCAACCTGGGGAGACAAGCAGGAGGTACAAGGAAGAATTAATGCCCTTCACCAGCTCCGCTACTTCAAATGGAGGTAAAATTAATGCTGGGAATCAGGTAGGTCTTCTTCCCAGGGCCAGGGCTAGTGCTGGGCTCACTCCCTCCCTTGTGTAGCACTGGTCCCCCACATATCCAGTTTGTCACAACAAGATAACTATAAGATGTGTAACTGAAATCCCAGGGAATCATTTCATTTATGTGATTGAATGACCTTCTGTGCTTCACGAAGATGATGCACCTTTACTGTGGTGGCCTTTACGAACCTATGAAGACAATCAGATAGGAGACAGGAGAACTGGGTAAAGTTCTCAGATAACAAATGATTTGATAAGGAAAAGCAGATAATTTTATAAAAAAATACAGTTTGAGAGAGGCGGAAATGGCATGGGTCTGTTTGATAGATCTGGTACCTTTGATATAACCATCTTTGTCAATATGCTTGGAAATATCAGGTTGCAGCCTCAAATTCTTGGTGAAGGCAGCAGCCTTGACCAGCACCACGGGTGTGTGTTCCTGGAGAAGATGCTGGAGATCCGTCCGTTTCCACCAGTCACCGCGCAGTGCTGAACCCTGGGCAGAGAAGGCAAGTGAAGGAAAGCCAGATTTTTCAGAAGATTATCCATAAAACTGGAGGTTAGCACTGTACATGGGTTTCCGTGTCTGGGGCAGGGGAGCAGAAGAAACTACAAAAAAAGTCAAAAAGGAATTTTAGAAATGCTGGAATATTTGTTTTAAAGACTTCCTAAATGAATCATTTTACCTTGAATTCTGAACTGGGTTTTTGTGGTTTAGAAAAGGATATGAAGTTAAAAACAAGTTAAACAGAAAGGCTGAGTAACTCGAAGGCAAGCAAAACATTCAATTGCAGTTGGAGCTTCATATTTGGGGTTAACCCAGAATATTTTCCAGCTTCTGCTTGGGTTTTTTTTGCCAGCCACCTCCTCCTCCCTCTACCCCCAATTCATTGTTGCTCGGTCCAAGCCATTTTTTCCCCAGATATTTTGATTAAGCCACATAACCCAAACAGTCATTATTCACTCCGCATCAGTGATCTCCTCATTTCCAGCTGTCCGCACTCCCAGAAATGCCGCTTACTGCGAACATCGTGTCTCCACCCTCAGCCCCACCAGAGCTTGTTTCTTCAGCGCATCGCTCTCACCACAAGCCATGCCACTAGGAATCCTTATCAAAGAAGTCACCAAAGAGAGACACTCTCTCCGTCTTGGTTCTCACAAGCGCAGGTTTGCGGTAAATCTTCTCTTCCCTTTCCCACTCCTCGGACCCTGTGCTGGAGGTGTCCCAGAACACATCCCTGGTCCGCGGCTCCCTGCAGAACCACAGGTCAACCTTCCTGCTCCTGCCCGGAGAGAGCTCAGCCCCATCCTGCTGCCGGGAGAGTCCTCCACCCCACGGGCTTCCTTGGGGAGAGAAAAACAGAAACAGAAACAAACCAGCTCATAATGTTGCAGAACTGCAAGCCTAGAGTTTAGTTGGGAATGGCCATGGGCAGCTGGAGGCTTGTAAAGAAGACCCTGAGAGGCCACTGTAAGACCAGACCCAGTGCTGGGGGTGCAGGGGGTGAGGTATAATATACTCAGGATTATGTTTGGGGAAATTATCGAGTCTGGCAAGAGGCAGTATAGTTTTATCCCCCAGCAGAGGAGAGCTGAAGTGAAGAAACACAAGGGAATAGAAGCAGCCAGATCTGTTCCCCTTTAAAGTTCACTGTCAGACAAGTTTTTCACTGATTTAAGCATTTTTGCCCTCAGTGACACGTTTCCAGCCTGTGCCAAAGGTTGTGATGTGCGAGCAAAGCAGAACAGGGCTCGTGCCTTGGGGATGTCAGTATGAAGTGAAGGCTGAGATTTGCTTCGATTTCCCCTTTGTTAGGGACAATGAGGTCACCTTATGTGTCCTGGCTTCTTCAACCCCTCCAACCTCCATCAACTGTCAGCCCAAAGCTCAGGGCAGAGTCATGGCCACATCCATAACACCACAGGTCAGCCCTCCAGGGCTATGCTATGTCCATGCCTAATTTCTTCCTAAAATCTCATTTAAATCTCCCCCCTTTCAGTTTAAAGCTATTACCCCTTGGCCTATCCCTGCACCCCCTCATCCACACACTCTCTCCTGTAGCCCCCTTTCAGCACTGGAAGCTGCTGGAAGGTCTCCCTGGAGCTTTCTCTTCTCCAGGCTGCACACCCCCAACTCTCTCAGCCTGTCCTTGCGCAGGAGCTGCTCCAGCCTTGGACCATCTCCGTGGCCTCCTCTGGCCCCACTCCAACAGGTCTATATCTTCAGGCAGTCATTTTTTATTTTTTTCATCCCTCTGGCCATCACGTTGGTGAAGCTTCATAGGTTCCCCCAGCCCACGTGTGTTCCCCTATGCAGCAGTCTATATGCTCACCTTCTGGGATGCTTGTGCCCAGTGGAATCCCTGCCTCTGCAAGGCCATGGGACCCCAGGGACCCCCGCTGTCCTTGTGTTCCATGTGTGCCATGCAGGCGACGTGTGGGACAAGGTGAGACTTGTGCCAGTGGAAACCTGCTCCTGCAGCCCTGGGGACTTTGCTTTTATGCCCCGATGGCTGTTCCATGGCTCCTAGTTCATGTCTACTCAGGTGTCTTTGGATGCAAGCAGCCCAGAGACCTGTGTCCTGCTCCGTCCCAACACTTCGCCTTGTGACCACATCTCACCGCTTCCCCCTCCCAGCCTTTTGACCTTGCACTATGTCCCAGCAGGAGATGGAGCAGCAGAAGCAGCTTCCACAGGGAGACTTCTCTGATGGCATTTAAGAGGCTGGTGAGTTTAACATCTCTGTGGAAAATTATTCTACTTACCGTGGTTGTCTCCATGTAAACGCTGATTGTGCTCAGCAGGGATGAGGTCTGGGCTTTCAGCGCTGTTGCCTCTCTGGAGAGCGTCAAGGACTTTCTCTGGGCTGAATTCCCTCGGTTTTTGTTTATTGATTTTTGCCTCCCTGTGGAGATTGCGCTTCAGCTCTGCCTGGGTTTGCAAACGAGTTGTCAACACAAGCAGCAGAGGAGCGAACGCGTTTTAACAGCTCGGCGCGGTCCATCATTAGGGGCTTGGCACTGAAAATAATTACTCAGTCGAGTAGTTTAACCAGGGCAAATGGTATATGCCAAACTGGGTGCATGACAGAACATGACCCAGACAGAGATTTTTTGGTTCCCCCATGGGCCATGGCCAAACAAGGGCAAAGCATTGCAAAAATCAGTAATTACTGCTCATGGGGTGCTCCCCACCTTGCCTCTGCCTAAACCACCAGGAAAGCTTAATTTGCTCTTCCCAGCCACAGGCTTTAAGCCTCTTGGTCCATGGGAGAGACACCGAGGATGGGCAGACCTCCATCCGAGAGGGGAAACCCCAGCCTCTCCCCAAATCCATCTCCGCGTTACCTCTCGGCGCCTGCGCGTCAAGTCCAGCATCTGCAGCTTGTACAAGTGCTGCCGCCTGCCAGGGAGGGGTCTCAGGCTTTGCCCCCTTTTCTCTGGAGCCTACGAGGTGTTTAAAAAACATAAATAAATACACCTGCACCTTTCTGAAAGAGAAGGGAACAGCCACCAGCTCACAAACCCATGCCCAGCCCCTCAGCAGTAAGTTTTTCCCTGCATAGCCAACTCGCAGCAATTTATCAAAAGTTTTCAATGTGCTTGCAGTTTATCTCGCAGCTCTGGGGCATGATGGAAAAAAATCTTCATTAAAACAATGTATACATGCTTCTGCCCCTCAAGGTGTTACCGCTTTGAGTTGGATGTCCAAGATCATCTCATGATCCAAAGGGAGGAACAACTTTTGCACGTTTAGGGTTACGGCACACGGCACTTGCAGCCCTCTCCCTGCCCACTGCAAGCGGTGGATGTTCAAGTTGCTCAGCTATTTAAAAAAGTGGTCCTTGAAATTTTACCCTCAAAAATATTTAAGGTCCTGGCTCAGCAGGTCTGCCTCATCCAGGGAACCATCATGCTGGAGATTCCAAATTTTTCCCCTTATTTTGTATCCTTTCACCCACACACCAGCTTTTCAGACGGTTCTTGGGCTTAGCCAAGGATGGGAGTGCAGCCAGTGTAAAACATCAACTTCTGCTCTTTGAGGTGCCTGAACCACGAGGGAAAGGAGCCTGCAGCCAGCAATGACCCATGCACGGGGCTCAACCCATTCGCTTACCTTTGGTTCTGGGCTCACAGCCACTTGCTGACTCCAGGGCTTTGCAGGAGCAATTGCTTGTGGAGGGCTGGCAGGTTCAAGCCTCTGCAAGTCCAATATTTATAATATTCAACATTCCTCATTCTACACAATCGTAAAACCTGATATAAACTACCCTGACATTTTTCCAGACCCAGCTCTGGCCCAGCTGCTTGGGATACAGGAAGAAGATTGGCATCTCTATCAGATGCTCAGGGAGATAAACATTTCTAACAGTCCTTTGGGAGTGGACAAAACTGGAGTCAAAGTAGCAAAACCCCAGTTTGAAATTGGTTCCATCCCTGTAGGTGTTTCTCTTTGAGCCTCAACAGCTCCCAAGGCTCCAGACAAGACCAGAAGACAAAGCCCAGCCCAGATTCCTTCATGTCAAATCCAAAGTGGAGATGTATCATAATTTAATGTCAAGTCCCCTAGCATGTCACCTGAGGGCAGACCCCATATACCCCATCCCTGGAGGGGTTCAAGGCCAGGCTGGATGAGGCTTTGAGCAACCTGGGCTAGTGGGAGGTGTCCCTGCCCATGGCAGGGGGGGGGACTGGTCTTTAAGGTCCCTTCCAACCCAAACAATTCTGTGATTCTATGATTCTGTACCTGAGGCCCAGAGCACCCTTCCCTCCATCCAACCGATCTCTTCTATGTTGGCCTGAGTACAACCTCTCTCAGTAGGACTTTGGAAGGTACAAAGTGCTTTTCCTGGTGGCTGATGGAACTGGGCAGGACATGGATTTTTATCTTAAGGACCTAAGTTGTCTCCCTAAATTGTGCCAAGCTACTAAATGGTACTGGGTCATTTCATGGCTTCATGGTGCTGGTGTTCCCTTCCAGGATGGGAGCTCAGTAGGGCTTCCATAAAAATTAAGGGAAACATCATCAAGGACTTCATCAGTAAGATCTGACTTTAGGTGGGACATCATTAACCCCTTGGATGTGAAGTAGAGAGTCCTCTAAAATGTGACGTGCCTCTGAGTGGCTGCACTGAGCTGCTGCCAAAGCCTGAGCTGTAATTTGGAAGCATCCTGTGAGTCAAGGCAATAACGCAGGAGAAAAACAGCAGCATCATGTAGAGGAGGCATCGCCCATCAGCACCGAATGCCATGCTCATGTGTCTTTCAAAAAAATCTCATAAAACCGAATATAAAGCTTAAAAAAATGGCACTAGATGGCAGCATGTGACACCACAAACTGCGGTCCAGGCTGTGCATCACTCCCAGATACCTCCAAGGCAGCCAGCGCTGGGTGGCTGGAGGCTGATAAATTCCAGCATCTCTTGGCTCATTGCTCTGCTCCCGACAGGGAAGCCAAGTTTCAGGCTTTGGGCTAAAGTTGTGTTGCAGGCTGGAAAATTGACTCTTTCTTCTCTGGGAATCTCATGGGATTTTTCTCTGGAAACGCTCCCAAAATCCTCTAAAAGTCCTTGAGAAGGCCATGTCATTCTGCTGGGCTGCCTTTGAAAATATTCCCACAGGGAATATATTTTAATATACACATTATATATCTGTAGATAATATATTATTTATATTATTTTGTAGATTATATATACTTTAAGA